TATGTCAAATGGCTAAAGGTTTGCCCTTCAAGAATATGGTATGCTGCTAAGGATTGAGGTTCTATAAGTTTCTTGGGGAGACATAATTTAGGACTTGAGGTCACTTCATTATGGTTTTTGATTAATAGGTGATATCTATCTATATGTTCATGTGTTGTGTGGGTAGGGTTCATTCATTCATTTAAAGTGAGAGCACCCGTACAACTTTGATTCTATGAACTATCACATTATATGAATCTAGAATGTTGATAATGTTGCACTAAAAAATGAATCTAGGATGTTGATAATGTTAATATTTATAATAAAAACAATTCAAAAGTACTATCAAAATTGATCTCTCTTTTTTCTTTTTAGTACGGTGTACAAAATTTGAAAACTGTTTTTTTTTGTTGATACCAAAAACTCAAAAAGGGATAAGATTTAACACCTAAATGGGATGGGATAAATTATAGTCCCTTCGTCCCCAAAAAAATCATGTTTACTACGGAGTACTTACAAGTTACAAGTCAAAATTCAAACTTCTTTCTTTTCTACTCCATTCGTTTCAAATTAAATTATCTGTTTATTATTTACATAGTTAAATTTCATTCTTTTGCTTTTCCTATTTCGTTAGTCATTTGATAAAATAATATAGTCATGTCATCACTGGCTTTGTAAATCTTTTGATGTACTTCTTAAATACGGAGTATGTAATTTTTATTTTTTAATTCTATACTGTTTTTTATATAAAATGATTTGAAAATAATTTCAGTCAAACATTGTAAACTGAAATAAATGATTTAAATTAGGAAGGAGGGAGTAATTTTTACGGTGAAAATGCTAGACTCACAAATAAATAGTTTACGAACTTTACAAACTTGTCTTTTGTAGATTTTAAATTAAAATATTTTTCATAATTTGAGTAAATTTTATTTCTAGTGTTAAAAAGGTAAGTTTGTGATTTGTGGACTATTTGTTTGTGACTCAAGCATTACTCTTTTTATGGAGTACTATTTACTTCTTATTTGATCGTTACCTAGCAGCCTCGTAGCAAGTTTGATTACCCTTGTTTTTATCACTTTTAACTTCAACTATCCAGATTTAAGTTTTAAGTTTTAAGGTCTTAACTTCAGTATTCAAGTTTCAATTATCAATTATTCCGTACTTCAATTCGTATAAGTTATTAAAACCAATGCAAAAAAAACATATTCTAAATTTCTTTGGCTAATTGTAAAGTAACTTAAAATTAGTGTGTTTAAAAGCAATTTGGAAAGTGCAATTTGCTTTTTGCACTTTTCATGGTCATCTAATAAATGTTTGAATACTTTTCTTCCAACATAGTAAATTTGAAAAAAAATATGGGAAATATTCACAAGAGAAATGTAATCAAGTCTTGTTTGTACTATTATGCATTTATAGTTTTTATTTAATTAATCATCAAAATTTGTTCAATTTAAATTAAAATCAAACTGGACAAATACCTAATATAGATAAATTATTTTTTAATCAAAAGATACTTTATTCATTCCATAAAAGCTAGAAAAATAGAGTTAGAATCTTCCAACACCAAATTCCAAAACAAATACGTAGTACAAAACCAACGATATTAAACCTATTCAATATAGCAAATCTTAAGTTTATTAGGGACAAAGTTAAGGTAACTTCCGATATCTTTCTAATCTCGAGAATCATTTCTGGTGCAATCTATCATTTCTAACTCTCCAAATATAGTAGGAATTGCTTGCCCACCCAGCAAAGGCTAGCCAATTTGATAAATTGATTAGAAAATCTGAGATGATAAAAGATGTCTTTCAGAACTTTTCAGTAAAATGAATGATAAACCTTACGAATATCCAACAGACCAACACCATCATGCATCTAAGGGAGTTATCTTTTCTCTTATAGCTCTTTGGTGATTCGTGACAAAGAAGACATTGTGAAGTATTAAATTTATTGAATGTACAATATTTTGATTGTTGTAAGGTAATTTTTTTAAATTTTTTTTAATGTTTATTCCTTGGTTTAACTAAACTTATCAAACTCAAGTTGTTTGGAGTTGTTTTGATACAAACCAAAGTCTATTTTGTCAAAGTGTTTTAGATAAAAATAAGTTTTAAATAAAGATATTTTTAATGGCATATAGTCTAAAAATTTACTCTGATCTACGGTATATTTTTTTAAATATTACATAATTTTAACAAAACATGCTTTCAAAATAGTAGTTACCATTTGTAAAAATAATATTCAAATTAATGAGATTTCACTCAAACTAATGGATACAACTTACAAGGCATATGATTGCACTTTGTATTTTATACACACACACACACCTTATTTATAACAAAATGAATGCAATACATGTTTTTCAATGTTGCCATTTTAAATATTAAATCTTTAATATACTAAGGGATGGCAACGGGTCGGGTTCGGGTCGGATAGCACTATACCCAAACCCGACCCGACTTTTAAAATCGAAACCCGAACCCGACCCGAAATCCGACTTTTTAAGCCAAAAATCCGACCCGACCCGAACCCGACATTTCAACCCGAAACCCGAACCTGACTCGAACCCGACTTTTAACCAATAATCAATTCGACGTACCCCAATAATTTTGAAAAGATTAAATCTAATTTTTTGTGTCTCTTTTTTTATGTCTCATTTTTTATTAATGGATTATAAAAATGATTATAAAAGGCATATTTGATATAGTAGCACTTTGTCAAGAGATTATACGGAGTGCTCATTATATCCATAGATAGACTTTTATGTAATAAAATATTCGGGTTTTAGTCGGGTGCGGGTCGGGTCGGGTCGGGCAAAATTATAAATCCACACCCGACCCGACCCGATGTCGGGTTCGGGTAAAAAAATTTGGGTCGGGTTTGGATTATTTTATTTTTGGTTCGGGTTTAGATATTTTAGTAGTCGGTCGGGTCGGTTAAGCTCGGGTTCGGGTTGAATTGCCATCCCTAAATATACCCCGCATTACTTTATGTTTTTATATAATTCATAGAAATTAATGATATACAAATATTTGATGAGAATCATGAGATGCAATAAGAATTAAATGAGAGGACATCAAAAATGTAACTTTTTTTTATCACTAAGTCAATCTTTTATATCATTTTTTCTATTTTTATTTTCTCATTTCATTTATTTTTTATATTTTTATTTTATACTCCAAACTTTAATTTTAATTTTTTTCAGTTTAGTTTTATTTTTTAAATATATTAATAAATAAAAATAATCTAAAAATTATTTTTTCTAACAACTAAATCCAAAAATTGTTTAATTAGTGAAAATAGTCAAAATCCAAAAAGTTACGGAGTATTTTGTAATTACCACCTATATTGTCATAGGTGGAATTCCCTAACATTTTTTTTAAAGTGCAATTCCTTGACTTTCATGATATAGGAATTGACTTATTTATTTTTTTAATAAAGTAAATATCTTATAATTTTGTGACACCACAATAATTATTTCAATTGAGAAATCATATACTCCCTCCATAAATAAACTTCCCGTTGTGCGTTACGATGTTTGACTGAAGTTATTTTCAAATCATTTTATATGAAAAATGGTATAAAATATAAAAATAAAAATTACATATCAAAAAACTATATCCATGATCTACAAAACTAGAGATGACATGACTATATTATTTTATCAAATGAGTGACGAAAATAGGCTAACAAAGTGAATAAAAGTTGATCATGAGAATAGTGAACGAAAAGTTTATTTATGGACGGATGGAGTATTGAACAAGTGTGGATAAAAAATTGACTCATTTAATTGTTGGAAGGGAATGTAATTTTGAGGGAGGGAGTCTTTTAGGTTGAAAATAAAGTATTTAAACAAAAAAATAGTCTTTTTTGAAGGAAAAAAAGAGTTTTTTGTTGGGAAGGAAAATGTAAACTTGACTCCCCTGCATGACCTTTCTTTCTTTGTCACTGTTCCTGGCACACCAGATAGATATAGAAAAACATGAGGGCGCAGCCGCCATTAAAGCAGATAGAGGCAGAGTCCAAGACAGCCGTAAGTAACTCCAAGATTGGTTTTTTGACCTTTCAAAAAGAAAGAAAGCTGCTTTTGTTTTCAATTCCAATTCCTTTATCCCCCTTTCCTTTTCCATTTCGTTTTTCTTTTCGCTGAACGCCCCCTGTTTCTTTCTTTCTTACTACACCTTTTGCTTCCTGCTGAGAATCTCTGATTTCTTTACTTTCAAAAGTCTTGTTTGCTGCTAACAATGTTCTTTAATCAATATGGAGTGAAGAAGCTTCAGATCTGATCTGAGGAGCAGAGCAAAAGAAGAAGAAGAAGAAGAAGCAGAGTGGTCTGAGTGCCTGTTTGGTTTCTGGAAAAATGCATACTAGGTACATGGATAGATCTTCTAGTATTGCCCGTGAGAAACGGGCTTTGGATCCGGGTAATGGGTCTGAAGATGTTCAGCCCGAGAAGAAACGCCCTGCTCTTGCCAGGTAATACACACGCAATTTCCATCTCCCCTCTCTCTCTCTCTCTCTCTCTCTCCCTATATATATATAGTCTATTCTATACATACATGTATGTATTCTGGAAATGGGATTTTGATTATTACTGTGAATCTTTAGCACCTGAGTCCTGAGGTAGCATTTGCAGTTTAAACCAAAGCTGATGCTTTGTTTGGGCTTCTTGGAGTGCGTGTGGTGGGTTTAAATGTGTTGAGTCTATGAGAAGAATTGATTTCATGCCACTTCCTTGTGAAGTTCTATTTTTTTTGGTTTCTTGAAGATAGCACATGCTGCCTCTGTCCCGTATATCTTCTCATTTGAGATAGGTGCAGAGTAGAGCCACATGATTCGAAGATTAATTTGGAACAAATTAAAAAGGAAAGATTGAAGTTAAATATGGAACATAGGGAATAATCATCTTTCAAAATTGCAATGTGAGCTTGAGGATGTTTGCTGAGTATTAGGAACACACGGAAGCGTTTAGTTTAGTTCAGCCTCATATTGGCATTCCTTTGAAAGATATGTTTCTGAAGACTGGAAATTTTAAACAACAAAGTGGTAAAATGTCTAATTGTCTATCATTTGGAGCATTTCTTGAATATGTAGAATGAATGGGAAGAGCTACAAAGGTGGATGGGTAGTAATCTAAACTTGCTCACCACATCACCTGAGCATATTTATGTTAGACTCTTGGGCCTCTATTTTGGAAATTTGACGGTCACTGGCTAGCAATAAACTCTTGGAAGTGTATTTTGTTCAACTGAATGAGCATTCAAGATCTTGTTTATCATTATGATTATGTATCGGTTACTTATCTCTTTATGCGATTGTAGTTCTTCATGATATTTATGTTTAGAACTTAAAGGTGATTGAACTGCTACCAGAAAGTTTTGTTCATTTGAATTATGGTGTCCTCAAGGGTGATAAGTCTCCAATTTATGCTACGGGCTTGATTTTTTACTCATCATAGTTGATGGTTTGTTGACAACGTTGCAACTGCAGTGTCATTATTGAAGCCCTTAAGGTGGACAGCCTGCAGCGGCTTTGCTCTTCCCTGGAGCCAATTCTTCGGAGAGTTGTAAGATTTTCCCTTATTCATGAAATCTCTGTGTTGACAAAACAAGTAGAGGCCAAAACCTTAATAGGTTGACACAAACACTATTTTTAACATCTATATACTGTATATCTTAAGAAATCACATCTTTATTTGTGTCTTTTGATATCAAGGTGTGATCTTTCCTGTGTACAGGTTAGTGAAGAAGTGGAGCGTGCGTTGGCCAAGCTGGGCCCCGCCAGAATTAATGAGAGGTTTGGATTAACATCTCATTTGCTTATGGATTTGATTTGCTCTTCTTTTGGATGCTTGTATTCAACCGCTACAATTTGGGGAATGTTATGTTTTATATGCCGACTTGTCTATATGTTCTGGCCTCAATTCATGTATCAAATCTAAGCCCTTGTTTGGTTGGAGAATTTTGAAGGGAGGGGAGGAAAGTGGAAGAGTGGTGCATGCTTGGTTGGAGATGTTATTAGGAAGGGAGAGGAAAGTGGAAAGGCTATAGTGAATGTAGATGGAGTTGAATTTTTTCTTACATTGTTTTTCACCATTTTAAATCAAAATTGCTTTATTAGTACTCCGTATGTTTCTAAGTAAAAGTTCAAAACTAAAGTTACCATATCAAAGTTCTCTCCTTCCCAAAAAAGTCGTGTTTATTAAGGTACGACCTTTTAATTTTAGTATGTTTCATCTCTTTTATATTATGAATCATACTTACTCCTTTCGTCACGCCAAAAACTTCATTGTTTGACTTTCACAGAGTTTAAAAAAAATATTGAAAAGTAAAAACTTTAAGGGTTGAATTTGTTTAGAGGAGGGAGAAGGGTTGTGACTTGTGAGCCACCCATTCCTTTCTTTAAAAGGAGATACTCCTTCCTCCCAATTTACATTGCATGTTCACTATTCATAGGCTCAAACTTAAACCACTTTCTTTGCCTATTTTTCCTACTCATTTGATAAAAAAGTCATCATGTCATCTTTTGTTTCGTAGAACTTTTAATGTAGTTTTTTAATATTTAGATTTTATATTTTAATTCCACACCAAATTCAAACATAGCAGGGTTTCTCCAAAAAGTATTGAAGGGCCCGATGGAAGAAATTTACAACTCCAATTCAGGTCAAAATTGTCACTACCTCTCTTTACAGGTGGGAAGGTTGAAGGAGAACAAGGTGCTGCACTCCATGTTGTCTTGCTTGATGGAAACACAGGCCACATTATAACCTCAGGCCCAGAATCGTCAGTTAAATTAGACGTTGTTGTGCTCGATGGAGGCTTCAATAATGAAGATGAAGATGGTTGGAGCCAAGAAGAATTTGAATCTAATATAGTGAAAGAGCGCGAAGGAAAAAGGCCACTTCTGACTGGGGACTTGCAAGTTATATTAAAGGACGGAGTCGGGACCCTTGGGGAGTTGACATTTACAGACAATTCCAGTTGGATCAGAAGCAGAAAATTTAGACTGGGTTTGAAGGTCACTTCGGGCTTTTGTGAGGGTATTCACATTCGTGAGGCTAAAACAGATGCCTTTACCGTCAAGGACCACAGAGGCGAATGTGAGTTCACATAATTATTAATTTATCTTTTCTTGGGACTGTTTAATGTAATGTTTAGATTGGAGGTTTGTGGAGGGTTGCGGGGTGGGATTAGTAATGATGTGGTTGTGGTTACTTTGGCATTAGAGATTGAAGAGAATGATTAACTAGACTCGATATGGACTAACTACCATATATTCAGTGGTTAGACCAAGTTTGGACTAAGGAGAAGCTCTTATAAAAGGGGAAGGATAGAATTAGAGAAACAATCTTTTAAACATTATGCATATATCTTAAGATATACAGAGTATATTTGAGATTTATAAATATTGAAAGATTAATGTAACATGTGATTGTATAACATTTCAATCACCTTTTATATCCATTTAGAAACATTCTATTTATCAAGATATATAATTAGCCCTCCAAAGCCTCCCCTCTAAAATTCTCTATTGAGAGGCTCTAACTAAATAACATTTCACTCACCTTTTATTTGTCGCAAAATATTTTTCTTTCTAAGAATTCAAGATATAATTTCCATTTTCCTTCGCCATTTGCCACTCTTTAATCTTTTTTTATGATAAATGATTGGTAATGACAAGATATGATGTATTGTATTTAGGAACATGTACTAATACTGCTTTACAAAATACCTAAATGTTCCCTATCTTGAGATAAAAAGGCACAATCTTTCAAAGAAAAATCTAATGCTTCTTAGATTTATTACACCCTCCATTGCTGTAGTGTTTCTGATTTTGTTTATGATGTTGGACTCAAGTTATTTTTAATTAAATTTATATAAAAATTGGTGTAGAATTAAAAATTAAAATTTATATGCTTGAAAAAATATCAAAAGTTTAAAAAAACAAGAGGTGACTTGACAATTTTATTTTATCAAGTGATCAATGGAAGTAAGGAAAGTAAAAGTGGTTTGACCTTGTGGGTAGTGTCTAGAAACACTAATATGGAACCAAGGGAAAGATACGGAAGAGAATTGTTAGACATTGCAAATAACGGTAAATATGTCTTTTTATGTGATTCCTTAACTTGTGTGAAATTTCCTTAAACTAGGAATATTATGTAACAGGGGAAAAGATTGGAAAGTATTCCTAACTTTTCTGTTCCGAAATGCAGTGTACAAGAAACATTATCCACCTGCTTTAAGTGATGAAGTCTGGAGATTGGAAAAGATAGGGAAGGATGGGTCTTTCCACAAGAGGCTGAATAAATCTGGAATACATAATGTGGAAGAATTCCTACGATTTGTTGTGAGGGACCCACAAAGGCTTCGAAATGTAAATGTCTTAGTTTTCCCCTCAACTTAGAATCTGCTATCACAAGTTTATTAAAAAAGAGTACATTTCACAAATGGTCCTCTATGATTCCACATTTAGTCCACTATGCCAAATTCCATTGGAGGTCCACTTTAATGTGAGCATTGCCAATTTTAGACCTCTTTCCATAATTCCGTCCAAGGGCCTCAAATTGACACACTAACGAAGGACTAAAATTAGCAATGTTCCAAGTTTTTTAAGGACCTTAGTTGGCATTTAATGGCATAGAGGATTAAAAGTGGAAAATGTTCACAATAATTGTGGACTCGCAATGGAATTTCACAAAGTAGTGGACTAAATGTAGAATATCTTTAATTATAGATGACCATTTGTAGGATTCACTAAAAAATCTACTCTTTTTTATTTGTTTTAGATCTTGGGAAGTGGAATGTCAAATAAGATGTGGGAAGCTCTTGTGGAACATGCAAAGACGTGTGTACTAAGTGGAAAACTCTATGTCTACTATCCTGATGATCTGAGGAATGTTGGGGTCGCGTTTAACAACGTATATGAATTGTGCGGTCTGATTGCTGGTGGAGAGTATCATTCTGTCGATTCTCTTTCAGATCATCAAAAGGTTGGTTATTTTGTAGCATCATTTTACCTTTTGAGAGAATTTCAAGCATGTTTACCCGTAATCGCTCCCTACATTTGAAAAAAGGTCTTGTTTTGCCAAGGTTCAACATTTTTAGTTTTCGTATGGCACAACTCAGTTACTAAAAGGAGGTGAGCATTAATGCATTACCATGTATCTAGGAGGCATAAATGTATGGTTAAAATATTTAAATTTAGATATTTTATGAGTCTACGTGTTAAATGATCTAAAAGCTTTTAAATTGGGTATAATCTTAATGTGTACTCCCTCTGTCCAGGTTTAGTTGTCAACTTTCTTGTTTTTGTTTGTCCGGAATCAAATTTCCACTTTCCTATTCAATAAAAGATTATGATGAATTGTCTAAAATATATGAGAATTATTAACATGAATGAGTGTCATATACTCATTCATTTGAAGGACGTCTTTGAAATTTTAAACTCACTTCTCAAATATGAGATTTTTTAGAAAGTAGACAACTAAATTTGGACGTATGGAGTAATTTCAATCCAAAAAAAGCTATTCCTTCCCACTATTTTTAGGACATTAGGGAGTTACGTTGAAATTAAGAGAATTAAGATTGTGTGGTTGATATTGATGTTAAAAAGTAAGATAAAGTAAGAATGAATTTGAAACGCAGAAGTATGACCAACAATGGTACGAGACAATTATAGTAGTACAGAATACAGTCAAAAAAGGTAAAAACGGGCTAAAAAGTTGGCTGGAGGGAGTATTTTTTTATAAATAAAAAATCATGCTTATTTAAAATGATAAAGAATATAAATGTCAGAGTTTCTTCATATTGAGCTCTAGGTGAAACGGTAAAAAGTTAAATTTTCTAAATACCCCTTTATGACAGGGGGGGGGGGGGTGTTTCAATATAGTCCTCTATTCCAAATTAATCTTTTCGTGGTCCTCTATATTTGAGAACTATTCTATAATAAGTCCTTTGGAGGAAAAGTTCCCAAACATAGAGGACAACCAAGAGAAATGTTTTTTCCCACATGGAGTGCACAAAGGATTTGTTATGGAGTAGTTCTCAAAAATATAGAGGACCACGGAGAGAATAATTTCGAATAGAGGACTATAATTGGAAACTCCCATGTTATAAAGGACCGTTTGGAAACTTCACTCAATGGTAGAATTGAATTGGCAAAAGAAGAATACAAACCAAATGAGCCATAGAAGTAGATCATCTTTAGGTACATGAAAGGAAAGTTAGAGCAAATGTGGATGTGAAATTGCAGGTTTATGTGGATACTTTAGTGAGGAAGGCATATGAGAACTGGATGCATGTGGTTGAATATGATGGTAGAGCTCTCATGAGCCTCAACGAAAACAAGAGCACCGATTCTTCTCGGAATTGCCAAGCAATTGGCTCTCACGACCATTCGAACTCTTTCAACCACCAGATAAATAATATATCAAGTCTCTCAAACTCGAGTTCTTCGGAGCAGTCTTCTATTGGTAAGTACACCACTGTATTTTGCCTTCAAATTGTACTCTTTTGTTACTTTGGGTCTCATTTGTCCTTAGATAGGAACATCTGGAGGTTTAGAATTAGGGTAGCTGTGTAGACCTATGGGTCCTAGTGTGTTGCTTTGGGTCTAGTTGCTAGTGTCGGTTTGTGCGTGCTGCTCCTACTATTGTGCTTTCATTTTTTGTACTCGTGTTTGAGTCGGGGGTCTCTTGGTGTCTTTGTGGGATTTTTCTGGGTTTGTCAGCCTCTCCCAAGACCCTATCTTTGTGGGATTTTTTTGGGGTTGTTCTATGGATCATTGCTAAAAGGTATGCCAAATGCATTTGTGAAACTCTTTGAGTGACAGAGGGAGTATAAAATTCTATGAGATAAATTTTCGAAACAATATCACTATAAAATATTGGCTACATATCTTTATGACTCTCGTTCTATGCGTCACACACATGCAACAAGGCAATACGTAGATAATTCCAAATCAATTTTTGCAAAAGTTTATTGGTCAAAAAGAAAAAAAATCATACATGTTAAAAAAAATACATATTCAAAAGTCACTATAAAAAAGTAGTGTTTTGACTTTTCATTTTGGAAATAATATTAAAGAAAATAAGCTAAGAAAGAAAATGAAATTTGACCAATGGTAGGAAGTTGGTACCTTTGTCAGGTAAATGGAGACTACATGGTAAAATGAGACATTACATGATGAAAAATGCTACTTTTGCACCAAGTTTGACACCACCGGAGACAATTGCGCACATACAGCCATTATCTATAAAACACTGACAATGAAGCCATGACTGACCCATTTACATCATCTTTTCCAGGATATGATCCCAATAATAGTAGCGGATACGCCATGCAGTCTGCGAACGTGGATGTCAACACCGATGTACATTTGAATGACATTTCTTTCCAGCACCAAATGGTGGTTGGAGGAATATCAGAACCACCACCACCGCCGCCGCCACCACCACAACAACAGCTAGCCCTTACTTGTGGGAATAATTACAGCCTGCCATTGCTTTCTCCTCCTGGAGCGCCAATCCTGACTCCTTATCAGGGGCCCACCGATGACGACTGCTTCTTCACTGAGGAAATCCGGTTAAGAAGCCACCAGATGCTTGAGAATGAAGACATGCAGCATCTCCTTCACATTTTCAATACTGAAGAGAGTTATCTGCCTTATACTGCTGCTGCTGCTGCACAACAACAACATGTTCCCGTTATGCCCCCATCTTTTGGGTTCAGCGAGGAGCCTTCCCAGTCCTCGGGGAAAGCTGTTGTGGGTTGGCTCAAGCTTAAAGCCGCACTGAGGTGGGGCATTTTCGTCCGAAAGAAAGCTGCTGAAAGGAGGAGAGCACAGATTGTTGAGTTGGATTAGAAGTCCCCTAGTTTTTCTGCAAGAAGAAGTCTATTCCACGAATGCCACGTCTGATGGGCTTGATCACGTATGGGCTTTATCCGGGCCCATGTATACCGCTATGTGGTGGGTCTGGGCTTAAGCACATGGAGTTCGAGCGATACGAAAGCCCAATGGATTTGATCTGCTGAGTCTTGGATGACATTTCAAGCTATGGCTTCCCATCTGATTGCAGCATTACTGTTGGATTTTGTTTGCAGTTAACTACTATTGTACTATGTGATACTCTCTGGGCATATTTTCTTACCTGAGTAATAAATTTGTTCTACACTGACATACTGCAATAATCAACATTGATTGGTCTTACCTGTCACATTTCTGAGTTTTTTGGCCTAACTTCATACTTCATAATGAACTTGACACTTTGAATTCATGAAATTTTTAAAAGATGTTGAAAAGTGAAAGGTGTTGAGTGAAATGTTAAATGAAGTTAAAATTTCTTTGGTAGAATGAGAAATAAAATTGTTCATATATATATATATATATATATAGATCTTAGGAGAGAAATGAGAATGAATCTGGTGTTTTAGATTGTGAGATCTAAGGGTCAGGATTGCATCAAATTAGGTGGACCAAAATGGTTTGAAAATGCATCATGTAGAAATGCACCAAAATCCTTTGAAAATGCACTCTCTCAAAATCTGAGCGCAGGATGCAATCTGAACCGCACGATGCATCAGATCCAAAGGCTAGATTTCATTCTCATTTCTTTCCATAAGGTGCGCTCTCATGGGAACCGGCTCCTATGTGTGTGTGTGTGTGTGTATCTTAAATGGGAATGTGGAGAAGTTTAAACTTAATTTTTAGACATCTAAATAGAAAGTACTATTACGAAAATTCAAACTTTTTTGTTAATTAAGCACATGGTTCTGTTGACATTGGAGTACGGTGATACTAGATTTTTGTAACACTTTCGGTGCTCCGATCACAAAACTGATGGTTCCAAATCTCCATTCCAGTCTCATCCTTGCCCTCTCCCCTCCTCCTCCAAATATATGACTATAATAATACCCACATATTTGAAGAAGAAAAAGGGGGGAGGGGAGTGGGGATGAAGTGAAAGGTTAAACAATGAATTTTACAAATGGAATAGCAGATGTGCTCCAAAAACCTAATGGCATCAGAGTGTCACTGTACTCCAGTGTGCACGGAATCAATTCATACGAAATCAATTCAGGGAGACAAGTATGACTGCACTAAATTTACACCGTTTGCACTCTCATTCAACTTTTTTTTGCGATTCCAATGCCTAAAAAGATAACCATATTTTATCTTGTTAAATTCACTTCTATATAAGCTTTCACAATATTATTTTTTTTTAAATAAAAAAAATATGAATTAATTGTTGTGCATTGGCAAGCATGAAACAAGTATTGCAACTAGTTAACGGCTAGAATAATACTCTACATTAAAATTCAATGGTTGAAGTACTACATTTAAAAATCCATAAAACAAGAGGTGATATGACTATATTATTTTCTCAGATGAGTACAAGACTAGATAATGAAAATGATTAAAATTTAAAATTATAAATAGTAAACATACATACTCCCTTCGTCCCGTTTTAAATCGCCCGTTTTGACTTTGGAGCATATTTAAGGAAGAGAAAAAATAGAGTTAACTTTTCAAAACTGCCATTACTTTTTAGGAGGGGTAACGATGAATGAGAAGATAAGGTGAAAAAAAGTGACTTATTTTAGAAGTAGTTTAGATATTTTACTCTTAAAAGTTTAAGATCACAAAAAACATGCAACTTATTTTGAGACGGAGAAAAAAGAAAAACAGACAATTTAAAAGGGGACAGAGGGAGTATTAAATTAAGACAGAGAGAGTGGTAGAGAATAATGGCATCACAAGATTCTACAATTTCAATAAAGATATGCTATAGTCACAAATAAGGTCACCATAGTTTGTAAATTTTGCAACCTTTTTATTTCTGACTCCAAATTTCTCATTTCAATACCCTAACACTATGTTTGGCTTAAGAATTTTGGAAGGAAAAGAAAAGAAAATAATTTTTTCTCATTTTCCTCACCAAAATGGAAGGAATTTGATTTTTCCTCCACTTGGTACATTTTGACTCATCATTTTCTTTTTCTTCCACTTTTCCTTTCTTTTCCCCTCTAACCAAACAAAAAAATGGTTTTCCACTTCATTTTCTTTTCGTTTTCCTTTCAAATTCCTTGAACCAAACATAGTGTAAAAGTTCACATCATTTCATCATGACCAACTTTTAGTCTGTGACAGCTAGGCAGGGCTACCAAAAGAAAGTGATACCAATTTCCATTACCAAAAGAATGTGATACCAAAAAAAATCCCATCTGTTGCAAAAAATAACATGGCCCATATATGATCACAATTCAAGAAGAAAAAAAGATGTGTTGCAAAGCATTTCTTTAATGGCAACTCATCAAGCAAAATGTAGATTCAAAACCTGAGACAAATATCTTACAGTCATCATACAGGAGGAACAAAGATTCACCAAACAGAGAGAAGCAAAAGGCAAATACAAAACAATAAAAAAAAAGAAAAAACAAGAGAAATTTTAACAATCTTTTATTTGATGGAAACCAATAAGCCCTCCATCGCCTCAAGAATTTCGGAGCACAAGCCGCCGGATCATCAATCCCTAACAAGAGTCTGGGAAACAAAGCAGATTTGTATGTGATAGCCCTTTATATATATAGCTTAGTTTAGTTTGGCTTGCAAAGGCTATCACATGAAATCATAGTCATCATAACCATCATATGCATTCACCACAGCATCATCATCTTCCTTGTCAATAAGCAGCTGCTTCTTCTTTCCACCTGTTATGCACAAGAATAAAATAAAAACCAAACAAACTCATTTCTAGACTTCATTGAGAGCCTGTTTGGTGAAGACCTAAGATGAATGAGGTGTCTGAATCTGTAGAAATTATGGTGGGATATGATGAATTATGTGAAATATATAATCAATATTTTTTAAAAAAATAAGATGGGAAAATTTGCACTGAATTCAGCTAAGTACTGAAAAAAGTGTTTGATACGCGAAAAAAGCATGCTGGTTAAACACACTAAAACTGAATTCGAGGGGAAAAAAAGAGAGTTTGGTATGGGGAGATGTAAAGACCTGTCTTCTTTTTGCCAGCATTGGCCTCTTTTTCAGCTTTGATTTTTTCATTTGCAACTGCAGTAACTGAAGAGGCCACTTCTTTTGCATCTTGCCCTTTCAATGAGATCATTGCCAGTCTCATTACATCCTTGAGTAACCCAAGGTAGAAGTAGCTTTTCTGTAAAACAGATTAAGGTGTTTCCATAAATCATGGTGCAGCATTAAAAACGGCATAAAGGCGGTAAAACCATAATAGCCTTTTTTTAAAAGAAAATCCATGATATCCTTATGAGAAAACAGATTTGGCAAACCTCATAAGGACGCAACTTATGAGAAATGAGCTCTGCGTATTCTACAAAGTCACTTTCACTTTTGGGGATGAAATTTTCAATGGTCTTCTCATCACCTTTCTTAGCAAACAATTCTGTTGTCGACTTATAATCTGCTTCTTCCACTAGCCTGTGTGAAATAAGGTGACATTATATACGAATATACAAAAAGTTTTATGCATACATTTTGTTATGTTATCACTTTTAGGACCTACAATTGGATATATATATATATATATATATACACACACACACACACACACACATACACACACACACACACACACACACATATATATATATATAAGATATATATAAATAAGAAAACAAAGTTTTCCCTCCAAATGCAACAATTTGGAAATTATAACTATCAAACACTTTGTCATGAAAAAATAAAATTACTTATTGGACATTTGTAAAAATTACTCTGTATATGTAAGCCATAATCTTTTGGTTATAATGTGTAACATAATATTTCAAAATATTGTAAAATTTATAGGTTTAATTAATTTAAAATTTATATACTCCGTATATCATTCCTAGTGATTACTAATTTTTGAGTCCGTGTTGTTTTTTTACACTTATTATCAGTTCAATACCTTTTAGTTCAGATCATCATATGACCTTATTTTTATATTTTTTTCATTTAATATTAAATATGGAGTATATGCTAAAACACTGCCAACAGTTGCCCAACAATAAAATATGTTAAAATTATCTCTTTCTCCACAATTTCATTGTTAAGGGAGCTAAAAGAGTCAATTGACAGTGTTTTAGTTTTCGGTACATAATGATCAAATAAAAAAACACATTATATTTCCCTGGCCCCTTGCTCCCTATGAAGTTATAGGGGCAGTAAATGCAGCAACACATCTAGGGTCGAACAGAAGCAACTTTTCTGTTTTGGGGCAAGACTGCATACATCTTGACCCCAGATCCTAACGGAGTTGGGATCATAGTGGGTTGAGGTATATTTTTCAGTAATGATCCCATTGAAAATAATTTCAAACATTTCCTTAGGTTATTTAAAGACCAATGAATAAGGTCGTAAATTTTAAAATATTGGTTTCAAGTGGAGAATTTGTGTCATGAATTTATTTTTTAATTTGAATTGAATCTTTATAAAACTTTTCTAAATTTTTAAAATTACAGGTTCTTTTGTTTGGCCTTAATAACTTTTTTAAATGAGATTTTAAAAGTTTTATTGGTTGATTCCTATGTTACTAAACGAATAGGTGACATTCATAATAAATTACTTAAAATGATATACTCAGCATTATAAAATGTTAATGAAAAATTATATCGTAACAAATATAAAACAATTTATTAAAATTGAAATATTATGAAGATGCATATCGCATTAATTTTATTAAAACCAACAACCCAGATGAATCCCACAAAAGTAGGATCTAGGGAGGGTGTTTCTACGCACACCTTATCCCACTCGAAAGTAGAGACTAGAGAGGTTGTTTCCGAAGACACCCGTGGCTCAAGAGTAACCACGTACACAGTCTTAATTCAAAATAATTACTCCCTCCATCCGGGAATAAACTTCCCGGTTTAAACTTCCCGGTTTGACTTTTCTTCATTTTTATGGGGAGCTGACTTTGTATGCAAATTATCCAAAATGCCCCCAACCCTTCCTATGCTAGCTTGGTCAGAGAGAGAGAGAGAGAGAGAGGGAGAGAGAGAGAGAGAGCAAGAGAGAGAGAGAGAGAGAGAGAGAGAAGATGAAGAAACGGAGAGGAGAAGAAAAGGATCGGATAAAGAGAAGCAGGAGTGCAGATTGACAGAAATTTTGACATGGGAGAGAAGTAGAAGAAGAAAAAAAGAAGAAAAAAAGATGGGAATCCGAGAAAGAGAAAGAAGTGTAGGGGGAAATTAGGAAGAGTAAATGAAAATTTAATGATAAGGGTATTTTTGGAAGAATTGGGGTTAAAATTAGAAATGGGAAGATTAATTTCGGGAAAAAAGGTGAAATGGGAAGATTATTTCTGGATGGAGGGAGCATTTGATAAGACATTAAATTTAAAAGGTACATTAATTTTCAATTTTAAGTTCAATTCATATCAATTTTGTTTATTTCAACATAATTCATTTAAGTTCAAGAAAATTTAGTCCAAACAAACAGGCTTTTTATAGCAAAAATAAAATAGGATATAATAGATTTTATAAAGTATTGTACATTACTGGTGCGTTGGACAATGAGTTAATGCTTTCTCTTAGTGTTTGAAATATACGTTAACTATCGTAAATAATAAAATTTTCATGCATATAATGTTTGATCTTGAATGAACCTATCATTACTTGTGTTTTTCAAAAGCATACACTCTAATTTTCAAAAATTAGAAATTGTTAAAAACCTCTTTGTACACAATAAGATTGACTAGTTTTGACTTTTATGAAATGGGTGTGTAATCTAAGTGAGACGATATTCTTTACACAATCAATGATTAGTGAATAATGAAAAAGTTGATTCTCAAAGTTGATCAGTTAAAAAATGCTTTTTCTATCCATTAATTTCCTAATGGATGGAGGGAGTATTTGAGCTAATGAGGTGTGTGCTCAACTGCTCATTAATGTGAGAGTTTCTCACAAGGAAATCTTAATCACTATTTTACTCCACTTATCAAGGAGTAACGATGGTAAGATTGATGAACATGATGGTGAAATTAATGATAGTTTTTGAAAAAAGAAATCATGCAGAGAGAGCCAATGACAATCTTTAAAAATAGTTAGATTTTTTTTTGCATTGTACACATAGTTATCACGGCGCCAAGGCGAGGCGCGGCGCCAATGGATCGCCATGACGCCTAGACGCCTAGGCGAGCGCCTAGGCGACAATTAGGCGACAAATTTTATATATATATATATATATATATATATATATATATATTCCTTTGTGTACATTATTATATTATATTATATTATATTATATTATATTATATTATATTATATTATATTATATTATATTATATTATATTATATTATATTATATTATATTATATTATATTATATTATATTATATTATATTATATTATATTATATTATATTATATTATATTATATTATATGTTTTTTTCAAAAATAGAAAATAAAAAATGAAAACACTAATAGAAGACATCTTCTAATTAAAGCAAATATACATATAGGGTTAATTTTAAAGGAAAATAGGAAGTGCTACTGGCCGNTAAAATTGAAGGGTCGGGTCGGGTCGCATCTTAATTCTCGGCTCTCTCGCATCTGATCCGAAAGGATTTAGCGATCGTAGGTCTTCTTCCCCTTTCAGATCTGGAATTCGACGGCGTAAGTCGACATAGGCGCTGCGCCTGGACGCCAAGTCGTCGGAAAAGCGACGCCTAGGCGAGGACTTGAAAGTAAGGCGAGTCGAATCATCAAGGCGAGATCAAGAGGGCGCCGCGACGCCTAGGCGACGACTAGGCGACGCCGTGATAACTATGATTGTACAATGTTACTTATGTATAGTTATATTTAATGGTATTTTGAGAAACAAGTACAACACATTTCAAATGTATTATACATAGTAATCCATATGTTACAACATAACTAAACCAAGTAGGTCTGCTTAGGAAATTGTGTACATGGCAATTTTTAACTATTTGTAACTTGTGAAAATTAAAATGTATGCTTTTAAAAAGCGCAACAAATGATAACTACATTCAAGATGAAATCAACATGTTATGCATGATTCAGAGAAATCACACGAGCAATGTAGGGTTAAAAATTAGTTGAAGAAAAACATTAAAAATCAGGTAAACATAAATATACCTTTGCTGGCGTAGTTTTTCAGCTACTGGATCTACAGGCTCCTCCTTTTCAATTTTTACTGCTTTCACTTTCTTTTCAGCTGCTTTAGAAACAGGTTTCTTTGAAGTCTTTTCAGTAGGAGCCACAGGTGCCTGATTACATCACATTATCACAAGAGACCAACATTATCTTAAACTGCAAACACTAAATAACCTTTCAAACACTTCTTTGTCCGCAAACGTTGACCAATAAAGAGTCATGCTTTATGCCTTGATCAAATTCTCCATGACTATCTGGTCCTATTTATAAGGGATTTCTACCAACTTCATCAATTCTATGAAAAATTGTAAAAAGGTAATGTTTAACATAAATTTATATGTTTTCCCATTTTACACCTATAAAAGCAAGGAAATTAGGAACAGATGAAAATAATAATAGGAATGTTTTGGAAAGGAAGTTTTCTACACACCTCAAAAGCTTCAAAATCTCATATAAAGAGGACCAAGTAATCCTTCTAGAAACACCCTTATAGATATGATTGGAGGGAGTAAGAGTTTAATCTTCATGTCATTTGCAAAAAAATCTGAGTCACATACAACTGGACAAGTTGCACATGATAAATTTAGCAAAAGAGAGAAATTTTAAAACAATAGATTGCATTAGTGTTTTATAGGTTGAGTTAATGTTTTAAAACTATAGACTGAACCTGGACAAAATTAAAAAGTCAGGTCTAGCTTGAGCATAACTCTTTTTATAAGGGAGGGAGCCATAGAGGTAGTACATTTACAATATACTGTAATTGTTTATGATATAATGGTAATCAACGCTACCTGGGTAGAATCTTCATCATCAGTTTCCCATGAATTTTTTATGTCATTTTCATCTACATCCTCATCATCCCATTGACTCTTCTTGACTTGCACCTGGTTTAAAACGTCTGGAATAGCCTCTTCATCCTCTGAGAGTGAAAAGTGATGTTAGAACATACCAAGATCAAATACAGTTTGCAGACTAAAAGGGAACTCAATTTCCAACACAGATTTGATATATCACATGTAGAGAGAGATGCCTAGTCATAGTTCTAGGTAGCATTTCTAATAGATAATGAAGTACCTAGTTAGAGTAACTTAGTACACATATTCTATGGATCAACCCCGTTTCATAGTAAATACCAGATTGCTTCTGCAAAACATTATACATGCATGATAGTATGATACTCCTCTCCGTTCCAGATTAGTTTAGGTGCAAAAAGCATCTAATACTTCCACCCGTTCATCAAAATATTTGGAAACACTTGTAGGATCAAAAAATTGAAAACTTGGTGTTTGGCAAAGGTGAGAGGATTTATACTTCCACCCGTTCTTCTGTGTTTTATTCTAGTTTTTACACTAGAAAAAAGGATTTATGAAAATGAAGATAGATAAGCACGTCAAATTACAAATTGAAAGAATTTAAAATGCCCTGCAACCCAATGATGGGAATGTGCTAATAAATACCCCATAAGGAACTATGTGGATCACTCGTGATGCACAATAGAAAACTACTCCGTACATCAGTAAAGGAGGGATAGCCTTGTATTCAAAACCTTCCTGGGACACTGAAAATTGGTGTCCGGATATTTAAATAATGGTTCCTCCCTTTATTATTTTCATGTTTATTTCATTACTGGACCTGAAGAAAGCATAATGTACTCCAATATGAAATATCATAAAATACTGAATTAGACTGAAATTAAAAGTTCATTTTATTTAAATTCAAACAAAACAAGTTCTTTTAGCTACCTCCCTACTCGTTCTACATCATAAGACGTACGGCTTGATCTTCATTAATATTTGGTCTTAAAACTTAATCTTCATTAATATAAAAGGTAAAATTCAATATTTTTTCACAAGAAACTATTAGAGTATACAACTTTTCTTGGACCTACCGCCAACATTGTGGTTGAGTTGATTCCTTGACATGGTATAAGAGTCTATGCTGACCTTGAGGTCATGAATTCAAATCTCATTCAAATCTCACTACCACTCAATTTAAAGGCTCAAGCAAAAACAAATCTTACATGCACAATTTCACATAATCGGACGTGGTAAGTATAAAATTTATTGGACTTACAACCACAAGTTTGAGGTTGTGGTTGAGTTGATCCCTTGATTAAGACAATTCTAGCAAAAACTAAGAAACCAAATCTACAATCAGTACAAAATATTTATAATAAAAAATAAATGGTTCTGAGGGAAAACATGGGATGGGAGAAAGCAATGTACCCCAACTGTCCATCTTTTTCCTCCTTCTATATAGTTCACCAACAATTTCAGCTCAGTACCTAATTCTTCTTAGTACAACCTATCAAACCAACCAGAAGAAACAGAATCCGAATATCATTCATCATAAAGGCGATAACTTTCTACGAGGCATCGTCATATCCAAAACCCCCAAAATCGAGTAAAAATTTCAACTACTAAAATAATCACAAAATAGTTCGATAAGCTTCCGGCGAAACAAGACTTGGATTTTGATTGGAAACATTTGATAGGTTAAACACGTTGAAGAAGCGAAGACTGAAAACGCAGAAAAAAAGGAAATACCTTGATGTGGAAGGAGGGCGAAATGTCGAATATGAGGGACAGAGACGAATGGGGTGTAAATTGGAGAATATTTTTTAATTAATAGGACGTTTAATATGGTGTTTGAGCCCATCGTTTAACCGGCCCAATTTTATAGTGGGAGGAGTTTGAAAAGTTTATTGTACCAATACTCATGTGATTTGGTAAACCGAGTTCAAATTTGATCACTTCATATTTGGATTATATTGGGTTTGGATAAGTTTGGATTTAAGTTACATCATGTTCATGTTAACAATGTGATATTATCGGGTTAGGGTCAATCCAACGAGTTGTGAGATTTCTTTTTAGAATATTTAAATTCATACTAGTATTTGCATTGTGCACTAAAAAATAATAAAATATCAAAGTGCATATATTAAACCTCTTGGAAGTTGGAATTTTTGTTTTGAATTTTTAATTCATTTTTAGAAATGTTTAATGATGTAATGAATAGTAAAAGAAATTAAAAATGCATCATTTTTGAAAAAAATATAAGATAACTATGTGATATCTTTGAAAACTTGTTTCAAAGTATATGTAGTTTATACACTAAAAATGAGTAATAATAAAACATAAAAACATAATCTTATTTTTCTTACATTATTTTCTATATAAAAATACATACTCCGTACTTTTGAAAAACTTTTACATTAGCGGGTTGATCTGGGCGCGTTTGATCGACAATGACTCATTTTTAGCGAGTCATTTCGGGTTCATTCATCTTCGAGTTTGCTCAACAAAATCTTTATTCAGAACCCAGTGTTTTTGAATCAAGTCATTTATTTTAATTTTAATTAAAATAAACGAAACAGTATAAAATTAATTTTTTAATCAGAAAGGGAACAAAATAAACAATGGGATGTGCTCATGTTCCTTGTTTCCCTCCCCTCCCTTCTTTCCAACCAAACAAAACCTTTTGTTTGGACGAGAAAATAAAAGTAAAAAGGGATATGCTAGGGGTAAACCAAAGGTGTACCCCAAATGTACACCACCCTCTTCTTTACCATTCATTTTATTTTATTTTTATTTTTTACTTTTTTTATTTTTTCTTGCCTTTTTTGTGTGGTGATGGAGGGGGTGGGGGATGTTTGGGTACACTTTTGGTGTACCCCTAGCATTTTCCAAGTAAAAATTATGATGGAAAAGAAAATGGTGAACATAAAAAATGAAAGGAAAATAGAAGTAAAGTAATACTCCCTCCGTCCCAAAAAGAATGGGACGGTTTGACTTTTTGGGAAATTAAGAGATGGATATTTTGGTATTGACTTTCCAAAAATACACTTGATGTGATGGGTAAAAGTAAGATGTGATGGGTAGATTATTAGAAAAAAGGTATGATGTGATAGGTAGGGTATGAAAAAGTAAGGGGTAAAAGTGGCTTTTTAATAGAAATGTAACGGACTTTAAGGGACGCAGTTTTTTCTAAACGTAACAAACTTTTTGGGACGGATGGAGTAATTGTTTGGATGATGGAAAAATGGAGGGAAAACACGAGAGAAAATGTGATAAAATGAATACACCTTTTTATCCCTTTTTAAAGAGATGGCGAAAAATTAAGAGTAAAGATAAAATTATAATTTTACTCATTTCTTTCTCTTGAAGGTATTTTTCTACCAAATGAGTTGAGCAAATCTTTCACCTTGGTCCCACTCATTTTTTCTCTCTCCTTATTTTCTTATGTAAACAAATAAGAAAAAAATGTATTGATGAGAATTATATTTTCTCACCCCACATTTTTTCTCCCCAACTTCTCACTTTCCAAACAATAAGAAAAGAGGAAGTTGTTTGAAATAATTTTTCTTAATGAATAATACTTTCTCCATCCTGAATTACTTGTCTCATTTTTTCTTTTTAGTTCATTCTAATTAACATACGAATATGTTTTACTTTAATTAGTTTTTTAATAAAGTAAAAAATATGTGATCTATAATCATTATATTATCTCGAATTTTAACTACTCACTCTCAATTTTTCAGTATTTCTTATTACATTTTGTGAATTCAATATGAAACAATTAATTCATTAGGAGAGAGTACAAGAACATCGCCAATGGCGTGGATTTGTCATGGCACGTTGTCACCTCATCAACTTTTATAAAATGTCTTGCAAGGCATGGGCAATTTGTCATGCTTGGCATTCCATGCGCAAGTCATGCTTCCCTCTTTTTTTTGGGTTTTTTTCCCATAAAATACAAGATTATTTAAAAGAAGTATAAAAGATTTTTTAAAAAAAGATAAGTAAAATAATTTTTTATAATTAAAATAAATTAAAAAAATGTAAAACTGATAAAATCAATAATTTGCCACTGCATGTTCCACTCACTTACAACACGCTGACTAGATTATTTTTTAGGGTAATGTACCTAAATATGACTAAAACATAATGACTTTCTCAATATAGGATCATATGTTTTTATTTTTCATTGTAGGATCATTGGTCATTGTCTATTAGGATCCGTTTGGTATACGGAATTGACGGAATTGGAATTGAATTGGAATTGAAATTCCATGGAATTCTATTCCATATATAGAATTGAATTTTGCCAATTTCAATTCATTTTTTGCACTATTAATTCCAAATCCACATAATTTTTGTGCTACCAAACATCAGAATTGGAATTGAAGTCTTCAATTCCAATTTCATGGTTTGAATTCCATGTACCAAACGAGGCCTTAGTCATTATTCAACTAAATGTCTAGCAGCATCACTTGGACATTATTCTTCTTACTAGTCATTATTAAGTCCTATTTAAGGAATAAAAAAGTTTAAATCCTACATTGAGAAATGACTTATGTTTTAGTCCTATTCATTGCAAATTTCACTATTTTTTATTGATTTAAATATGTCACCTCAACGTACGACATTCTATTTTTAGACTTCTAATTTGTGATGCTCTAAATATAAGAGTAATCTCCATCAAGATTATCTTCATTTTTTTTAAGTAATCTTTGAGTCCTCGGCCAGCAAAGAATTGCACGACTACTCATGAAGATGAGATTGTTGGAATCCCAAACGTTAATCTCTCTCTCTCTCTCTCGCCACATGAACAACGACAGTAATTCCTCTTTCTCAGTAAAACTGGGCCCCACCACAACCAGTAGTATATTATCGGTCACTGTCTGTCGTCCCCTCCAAATCGATAAACCAAAAAGGGCAAAAAAACAGAGTTTTTGTTTTCATCTCCATGGTGGCCATCCGGCAGTCACTTCTCTCTTCCGGCGCCCAGATTTTCCTCTGTTTCTTCAACTAAAACCGAATCCAATCCCTACCCACTTTCCTAAACCCCTCCAGTTTTGGATTCGTCTCATTAAATCCAGCTTCTTGGCCTTACCCGTTGCTCAGATTCGGTTTCTTGATTCGGACGCCGGAATGGGAACGGCGGGCGAGATGAGGACTCTTAGCTCGCTGGAGCTTATGCTGCTGAATCTTCGGAAAGCGGAGGAGGAGCCACCGGAGGATTCGCCGCCGCCGCCATTACCGGCTCGGCCGGTCGTGAAGCTCCGGCCGCCGCGGCCGAGGAAGAAACAACCGTTTATGTCCGGCAAGAGCCAGTTTCGTCAAGAACACCAAGTGAAGAAAGAGGGAAAAGATGCTTTTCTTGATTCTATTCCTCAAATGGAATCCTCAGACATGGGTGATAGACTCATTGATTTTAATGAGGTAAGTTGTCTCCCCAATTTGAGGTTTTAGTCAATTTGGAAGAGTGTTCTTACATAGAAATTTTTACTCCCTAATGCACTAAAGTACTAAAGTTAAAGATGAAATATTTGCACTAAATAGCACTAAAACTTAAGTCATTTCTCTAAATAGCACTTAGATGGTTTTCTTCCCTAAATAGTACTTTATAATGTCCATAATGACCAGTGATGACAAACAATTACTTGAATAATGACTAATGGATAATGACTAAAAGTGCTACATTGAGAAAAAAACATATGTAGTGATATTTAGAGAAAGTCATTATGTTTTAGTGCTATTAAGATAAATTCCTCTAAAGTTAAAATGAATTTGTCAATTTCGAATGGACATATATATTTCAAATTGACAAATTTCAAAACCACTTAATTTAGAGTTATAAACTTGAATATAAGGGTTCAACTAAGACTTAACTCCCTTAATAAAATTAATTTTATTCTTTACTTTTAGCAAAAGACTAAAGTATGAATAAAGATTTAAAATATATTAAAATAGAAGTTATATTACCACAATACTAAAGTATGAATAAACATTAAAAATATATGTAGTACTATATAGTGTCAATCATGAACATATACCTTATCAAAAAAATATTGTGAAATATCTATATACATATACTGTTACATTATTACAATGCAAACTCTTATTATAAAAATAAAAACATAAAATTCATATTTTGTATTTTTTTATGTTTTACTCTTATTTAGAAGAGAAAGTTATCTCAAGCAATCTCACATTTTCACGCTCTTTTAAAAACAATCTCAGTTTTCACTGTCAACGGAAATAATTCCACATATCCGAATGTGTGCAGGTTTTGGGTTACCGTTAAAAAGCTAACGGGCACTTAACAAATTTTATAAAAAATGCATGCTTTTTCTAAATAAATGAAAGATATGATTTTTTTACGTAAGTTCTCTTTTTTCATTTTTTTAGTTTCTACCATTAAATGTATATACTTTAAATCTTTTAAAAATAATACTCCCCCAAAATTAAGTGTTTTTTTAGAGTCAAACTAATTTTTTTTCAAAATCTGGTAATAATTGAATAATAAACTATTCTACACAATAGAGCTAATAATTTATTTGCTTCATAACTCACTATATTTTTTTTGTAATTTGCGATTATTTTTCTTGAGCGAGATTTCAAATTGTTTTTTGAGACTATTATTATATTTTAAAAAATGGTACAACAAAAGTTGTAAATACTTTTTGATTATTTTATATATTTTTTTTTTACAAAACAACATTACAAGAGTTGTGAAAATAACACAATAATTTTTTCTCTAAAATGGAACTTTAATTTTTATAACTCATTACAGTTTTGTTGTATTCCAATTTTTTTCATGAACAATATTCCAAAATCTTTATTGTCACTTCTATTACCGGTATTATTTTTTCTAAAATGAAACTATCCAACTTGTGACTTTTTTTGATAATTCAGTACAGATTTGTTCCCCAAAATAACTCAAAAGTTGTAAAAATGGTACAAATTTGAGATAATTTTCCTATTTAGAATGATTTTTTTTTAAAATTTTATACCTACTTTTTTTCAAAAAATAATTTTTCTAAAAGTTTTTTATTTCAAAATTTGATCCATAACTTTTTTTAGTGATGATAGTTAAATAGTTATAAGAATTCGGGTATGCAATGGTTAGACAATTACACAAATTAATAAAAAAACTAACTAATAAATTACACTAATTAATAATTAATTAATTAAAGAATCTAATATATCACTCGTATCAATGTCGCATCACTATATACTTTTTTTCAATTCATTTTCTTCACTTAAAAGTTTCGGCTTTGTTTGAGAACATCGTTTTCAATCAGTGTTAATGAAAGAATTTTAATGACGTAGATTAATTTTGAAAACACTAATACTAAATTTTCACTCTAATGCCAAACGGGGTCTTTCATGAGTAACAAATCATTATTTTGCAACAATCAATGAATGACCCATGAAAATATATTTTATACAAATACGAAATCAGTTCATTTATTTTAATACTTACAAAATCCATATTTAGTATAAAAAATATTTCGCATATTCATATAAAATTAATAAAATATTGTTTTACCACAATTAGAAATGAAAAATACTTTTAATACCTAACCTAAACCCAATGAATCTTAAAATTCACAAATGAGTTTTGGATGTGTGAATACATGGATTGTGACAAAATAATAATTTTTTCATTAGTAACATTTCTAATGGATGAGGATGAAAATATATACGGAGTAAAATATACTATAGGGGATATATGTTAATTTTTTGGGGTAATATTGGATAAAAACATTCGACAATGAGAGATTTGACAAAGAGTATTTTTATGGATTTTCGTAATCTATACTTTTAGTTAACATAGGTGTCTTAGGTGATACTCCCTCCGTCCTAAAACTTTCTTCTCACTTCTCTTTTTTCTCCATTCTAAAACTACCTTCCCATTAGAAAAAAAGATGACAAATGACATTAATACCCTCATGTATTTACACCAATTATCTTCTAACTCTATATTTTGAATGATTGCAAAAAAAAATCAAAAAATCTTTTTTAAGGAGGGTAAAATTTGAAGTCAAAGCCAAAAATTAAAAATAGAGAAAAGTCAAACTGAGAATAAAGTTTTAGGACGGAGGGAGTAGTAGGTAAAGTTTTACTTTTTTTTTTAAATTTTAACCCATTGAGCTTCACACATAAAAAAGTATATACCTGCTTATTACTTCTATTTATTGCTAATTTAAGCACTTAAATCTCATAAGCCAAAAATAAGTGTTCTAAAACACTCCATAAGAAAAATGTGCTAGCATAGAGTGCTCCTAATAATTTCTCACTAAATTCTCAAAACACTCAAGCTAAACTCTAACAGTGACATGATTGGTATATATAGATCTTTTTGGGAGATGCCCAGAAGCAAATGGGCACAAATATATAATACCACATTAAGATGACATCTAGTAGGGGTAAAACAGTCATAAAAGCATATATCTCTTGAATCTTTCTTTTCTTATGTCTTACAATGTGATACATATATATATATATATATATATATATGTTCTTAATAACATTTCATGCTTGAAGTTTGTTTAGTCCTGCAAAATGATTTGTCAGGTTTAATACAATTAGTTTTGTTTATGATTTTTTTAATGTGAAGATTGGTACTGTTGGTCTCACAGGATGTAGAAGAAAAGGAGAGAAAAAATTTACTGAAAGGGGTGATGGTAATTCAGAGAAGTTACAGAGGCCACCAAGCCTACAATTACTACCATGAGCTCAAGAGAGGAGCAATTACACTTCAATCATGTAAATTCATTTTCTACCTGTATTTTTCCCTTCTTTTTCCCCAATGTATGCCGACTTTACCCCTACTTTATCAGCTACATCTAATATTAGCCTAAATCATCTATACACATTCTACAGGTATTCGAGGCTGGTTCGCTCGAAGGGCATTCACTAAACAAGTAGCAAATCAAGAGGCAAACAAGACAGAATTCATTAAGGCACACATTAACACTTCATTGCATACCCTTTTATCACACGGCAAACTGAATCCCCTTGGTTAAAAGCAAAACAAATAATGAAAAAATGGCCAGGTCTGGACTTTCATCAAACAGTTGGTCTGCAAGCATATATAGACAGGGACTAAGCCCGAACTTCAAGAATTCGTTAAATTCTTGATTCATGGTGAAGCTCTCAGTCTTTCACTGGATAAGCTTTCCAGCGTACTCATAAAATAGAATTACAAGTAAATTTAAGAAGAGTAAAAAATAAATGAACTTAGAAGTCACCTCAGCTGCAGTTCTATGATTTCTATGATACCAGACAAAGTATGGAACCAGATACAGTAAGTCGCATATGGTAGCAGCTTGTCTCAGGCTCTGACTTAGAGGATGAAAGAAGAATTTTCTCATCCATTACTCCACTCATCACTTTTGATTGATTCCTCTTAAAATTCACTCTATTTGCTTACTGATTTTATAAATGGGGTGATTCCAAACAATGTCATTGAATGACCTGAGAACCGTGGAATGTTTCTTTCGTGAAATTGACGGTTCATACTCTTTTTAATCTCAGGTAAATCCCTCACTCTGTCCCAAACTCACCGCTCCATCCCTTCAATTGCATCCTCCAAGCTTAGTAATGTCAAGGGAACTGGGATGTTTTATAAAATAATACTCCGTATAATTTATTGGGGATGAAGGGAATATTCATTTAAAAAAGTATGGAGTATATTAAAATTAGATATTGCAATTTTGCCTTAGAATTTTGCTAGAATCTGGTGACAAAAATCCATCTAGTTACCATCCATACTCTTACTTTTGAACTACGGAGTACTTTTATGGTTTTATTTAAAAATAAGTCTCTTTTTTGGCATTGGCCTCCATGCCATATATTGGTTCATTTATACATTTGCAATACTCAATTGGACATAAATATGGTTCTTACCCCTAATCTCCTAAAATCTTCCACTCGTGCCTCCCCTAATCCCGCATGTCTGAGTATCCAATCAAGGAGTCTTGAATGAATTTTTTCATTTTTGTCTAATTAGTTTTTACATTGTGAAATAGGCCATACAACCAACATCCATTGGAAAATACCAAGTAGAATAAATAAAATAGGATTTGACATCTTGAAAGGTCAATCACAAGCCGGAACCTACAGGCAATGCCAATGTTGGCGCACCGCACCTTCCGCTAGGAAGTGGGCGAAATAAAAATATCACCAATTGGCAAAATAGAGAGGAGTTGTAGGAATGAGATACACGGAATTTTGAAGTAGAGGTAAGAATTATATTCCGATTAAACGACTCACTGAAGATGCCCGATAAATATGACATTGAATCTCAATGTTAGAAGAAATATTTTGTAACAAAGCTTGGTTTTTTTTAGGGTGGACGGTATATGACTAAAGTAAATATAATTTGGTACCAAATCCAGCTCATGTGGCATTTGGCATATAAGACTATAAGAGTAACACTGCCCTTCGTATGGTGGTACCAAGAAGTAAAAGTATGAAGGTCTAAGCATTTGCCAAACATACCAATTAGACTACGCCTCCAGTTTTGTTATTTTTATATTTTATTTTGTGTTTGTATTAGGATAACTATTCTTTTTCTGTTCTTTAATACTACGCATGTTTTTTTTTTTCAACTTGTCTGAAATATGCACTACCACTCCGTTTTTGTCTGAAAAGTCGTGCCGGAAGAGTTCTCCAACTTGTACATCTAATGAGAGTAGTGCTCCAGGAGGACTCTTCTCCTCTTTCTTTCTAGTCCGGCCGATGTGGATGGCCTAAGCCCAAGATTGGGTCCTACATTTATTCCCCCAACATCACTCCTTAGTGTCATAATATGACATCGAATCAAATCATTTGAACGTAAAATTTTTTGAGTGTTTTCTCTCATTTCTTAACAACCTCTAAATTTAGGTCCCAAACAGTTACTCCATACATTATTAACAATGTGACTAAATCCGCCAATTCAAACATTTTTGTTTTGATAGAGTGGGTGACATCGATCCAATGATCATTGCAAGAGAAGGAACACACACAAAAAAAGAAGGTTAAATACATATAGATTTAGAGCAAAAAGATGACATTAAAATAACAAAATCCAAACATATTTTAATTATGCTGATCTGTACTTCTAAGGGCTACAAATTACAGGTGTGGGTTTGAAGGTAACTCAAGTGATGTTGAACAAACTACAGTGAAGATATAAACCAAACTGCTGCTGTCTATAGGGGAGGGGTAGTTTAGACCTTTAAATTTCGCCTATGGTTCCGCCTTTTCTTGATCTTGCGCTTCTGGCTCAGCCCACCTTCTTTATACGGATCCACCCAGTTCTTGTCCTCGTTCACGGCTTCTTCCCAACGCTCTTTGAATCTTTGCAGCTCATATGTGGACTGTCGCCGTATCTGAACAAGCCAAATTTGATTATATCATCAATCTACATAATCCCGTTCGGTAAAGGTTTTTTTGGTCGAGTTGACTGATATTACTGAAAGGAAAACGTTTGGTAATTTCAATTCTAGCCTAATAAGTCAATGGCTAGGTTTTGTGGCCAGTGGCCACGGAGGACACTGTCCCAATTGGGACACCTACAGTGCTCCGTTCATAAAATTGATAGTCCTGACCCCAACCTCCCCCCACCCACATCAATTGCACCAAGAAAGTTTAGTTGACTTTAGGGTCAAAAAAACTACAATGATGGTATGGGTTGGGGTCGGGACTGGGTGGGGGGGGGGGGGTTTACCGGGGGNACCGTAGGTGTCCAGTGTCCTCCGTGGCCATTCAAAGAAAGTGGGCATAGAACCGGCCTGATAAGTCAAAAGTTACTCTTATGATAAACATATTCACTATTGAGAGAATAGAGAAGTAGATGGTGAAGAAAATGGAGTTGAATTGTCTAACCTCAGATCTAACATCAACAACATGCCTCTGCAAACCAAGAAAAAAAAACAATGGCTAAGAAATGAATGCCCAACATTATTGACCAAATTTAGGCTCCGTTTGATTGGCAGTTAAGCTTTTTCGAATTATACTGTGTTTGGAAAATGACTTCCTCTTTCCGAAAAGAAAAGACTAAAATCATTTTCCAGAACCAGGTTATGTCTTTTTTCCTCTAGGGCATAAGATTATACATGCACCCACTTAGTTTCCTAAAAAAATATTTTACACGCCAATTTAATTTCAGCAAGTCAGCAACCAAATGGAGCTTAAATGTGAAAATATATAGTATGAGGTGCCAAACACAAATAAAAACCCATACTCTCAGCAACTCTTGAGGATTTGAGTCCTGAAAGGATTTAAAAAGAAAGAGAAGCATTATAAACAATGACATATCAGCAAATTTGCAGCTATAAACTCTACATGTTAGGAGCAATATAGATTCTCTGATCTCTAGAAGCAAAATTAAATTTTAAAAAACATATGAATTAATGACGGTGATAGTAGAAACTATTTAGATTACTCACAACACCAGATGAGCAGAACACATATAGCAAGATTAGGAAAAATGTTTCTTTCTCCTTTTCTAATATATAACAGCTACTTCTTTTGTTCAGAGAGAATAAAAAGGTTATGCAAAATAATTACTCTGTACCTTTTTCAGTGATTGCCCACCCAGCGTTTGGATGCTTTGGTGAACTACATATTCACTGTCGACTACGCCAACTTTTTTTGACCGGTCCCCCTACAGAAGTGTGCACCAAAATAGGGTAATGAATAAAACCTAGAATCAGCCCCCACTCCACCAAAAGAAGTTATATTTGTCAAATCCAATGATAGTTTCCAAAGCCATATTTAGTGTGTGCGCACACACACACACACACTCAAGAGTCAGATGCGCAATATTACAATACCTGTGCACAATAGCCAAGTTTCATGTCCATTCCCCATCCATGAACAAGATCATTCTGATAGAAAAAAAAACAATCATCAAATGGTCCATAATCTAGCTTTATTTTGTGAGAGGAATTGAAAAAAACAATGTTCTTTAGATGAGAAGCCTATTCTTTTTCACCTGTATAAGATGCCAAGCACAATGCCATGCAGATCTTGAGAACACGGGAGCCATTCCTTCCACAAATCTGCAAACATAATGTGGTAAACCCAATGAAATTATGATAAAGGAGTAAGGACATTGAGAAAATCTTTCGATGAATCCAGCACATATTGGAAGTAATATAGTAATAGTGCTCAAAAGATAGGCAGGTAAAGCAAGAAACACAATCTTACCCACTGCAAGGAGGGCCTTCACTTTCTTCTGAACATCTTGTACTACCTCTATCCTCGTAAACTCTTCTGCTTAAACCAGTGTGACAGCATTGAATGGATGATCAAAAAGTGGTTAAAGTTCTCACCGTCAAGCTCATTACCTGTGAAATTTGCGGGTCCTGCTTCTTATTGTAATTCGGTGGTGTATCCCAGTTGAATTGGGGTCCAGAGCTGGCTGAGATATCTCCAGTCCGCCTGCCTTTACAATCTCAAGATATCTGCAATAGACGAAAGCTCAGCTGATTATTTCCAAAGAAAAAAAGTAGGAAAAAGATGTATGACATTTGTTAATCATGACAATGGAAAAGGGTTTCAACCTAAAATTTACAATAATAAAATACACACAAAGCGGTAACGTCTAGAAAGACACTCATCCAGTGAATGAAATAAATAAATCAATAACCAATAACAAAGCAATCAGCTAACATAATGTTGATACCTTCCAGGGTGGAAGTTCTCTACACCCAAATCTTCATCCCATAGGAATATGAAATCGTAAATAGATACAACAGCAGGATGTAAAAAACGCTTCGCAAACCACCTAAAAAGAACATTTGTCACAACCAAGAACTCCTAAAGATATCAGAGAGAATAGTCCAGCTTCCATTGGCCACTGATAAAATTTTGGATAGAGAAAAATAACAGGGAGACCAAATCAACAAGAATCTACACAGCAAATTTAAAACATTCACTTGGTATCCATCTTTTACAGGACATGTCTTCTCTCGGTGTTCATATTTTGTAATGACAAAACACTCTGAACCGGACTGTTTAAAACATCTAGATTGCTGAAAATCCAAACTGTGTGTCTCGAAAAAAAATATGGTCTTCTTACCATTTTGTTTGATTCTGAGCAACTATATGAATAGCCTCCTTACTCCAGTCAAGGTCCCACCACCCATCCAAATTGCCATCATAATGGAACAATATAATTGTGAAATTCTCTGACAGAAACTAAATCACAAGGAACAAATAAAACATAGGTCTGGTAAAGGATGTATTCATGATAAATTT